CCCAGCCTGCCATGGGACAATTCGGAGCATCATCCAAGCCCCTCCCCCCTGGTACCACTTCGGAGCAACGGTTTGCCATGTCGCAAGGCTCTGGCAGTGCCAGGCCAGCAATGGGCGGAGGCATGTCGTTTGGACGTGGCGCTTTCCCTGGCCAGCTTGGTCGCACTCCGTCGTCCACCGGCCCCGGTGGTGTTCCCAACTCTCCTCGCCAAGGAAGCCGACGTGGCGGCGGCAGCAAGCGCACTGATTTCAACTCGAAGAATGAGCACCAGGCTGCTAAGGTCATGCCACTCACCGCCGGGATGGACTTGAAGCCAATCACCGTCTCTGCCAGCGGCTGGAAGCCCACCAGCATCGGAAAGGGACCCGCTGCCGCCGCGCCCCAGCCTGGCCACCTTGATCCTGAGATGGTGCAACGCAAGGTCAAGGCTGCTCTCAACAAGATGACGCCAGAGAAGTTCGACAAGATCTCTGACCAGATTCTTGAAATTGCCGGACAGTCCAAGAATGAACAAGATGGGCGAACGCTCCGTCAAGTCATTCAGCTCACCTTCGAGAAGGCCACCGACGAGGCTCACTGGGCGTCCATGTACGCCAAGTTCTGCAAGCGCATGCTTGAGATGATGAGCCCCGAGATCCGCGACGAGGGAATTCTCGACAAGCAAGGCAATGTCGTCAGCGGCGGTGCCTTGTTCCGCAAGTATCTTCTCAACAGGTGTCAAGAAGAGTTCGAGCGCGGATGGAAGGTTGACTTGCCCAAGCAAGAAGGCGAAGATGGCAAGGCCGGCGAGGCTGCTCTGCTCTCTGATGAGTACTATATTGCCGCTGCCGCCAAGCGACGTGGGTTGGGTCTCGTCCAGTTCATCGGCGAGCTTTACAAGCTTGGTATGCTGACGGAGCGCATCATGCACGAGTGTGTCCGCAAGTTGCTCGAGTTCCAGGGAATTCCCGACGAGGCCGAAATCGAGTCTCTTACCAAGCTCCTCAGAACTATCGGTGGCAATCTCGACAGCACCGAGAAGGGTCGGCCGATGATGGAGGCTTACTTCCAGCGCATTGATAACATCATGGCGATTCCTGAGCTTCCCAGCCGTCTCAAGTACATGCTCATGGACGTTGTCGATCTGCGCAAGAAACGTTGGGCCTCCAAGGACACCAACAAGGGCCCCAAGACCCTGGAAGAAATCCGCGCCGAGGTACGTTTTTCTATGACGATGATGATGATTTAATACAATGTCACTAACATATCATTCTACCTAGGCCGAAGCAGCAGCGGCACAGAAGGCAGCCGAGAGTGCTCGCAGCAACCAGCGTGGTCCTGGAGGGCGACCTGGAGGCGGCCGCGGCGACAACAGAGGGAACTTTATGTATACCCAACCTGCACCCAACACGGTTGGTATGGATGACCTGCGGAGACTCAAGGGCAATGTCACCCGCTCGTCCAGCCAGACAGCCCAATTTGGCCCGACATCCATGTTCAGTTCTCGCAGCAACAGCGGACGTCGCATGGGCGGCCCTGGTGGCGCCTTCAGCCGTGGTGGAGAGGATTCAGGGACGTCCTCGCGCACTGGTACACCACCTGTTGCCCACACGAATGCATTTGGGTCAGTTTCCCTGCTTATATCCTTGTTTATCTAGAGCCGTGGCTAACTTTGTGACACAGACTTCTCGCCGATACTGGAGATCACCCAGCTTCACCCCCTTCGACTTCTGCATCCCCGGCGATGTCCAAGGTGACGCCGGACACGACAGATAAGAAGGAGTAGAGGTGCTTTGTTTTCCACTTACATTACAACGGTGTCTTGCATTACGGACTCTATTAGTGCATGCATAGACCGGGCGGGGATTGGTCATTTGCATTTTCGGCGGGCTGTTAAAAAAGACTGTTCTTTATCTCTATTACTTCTCTCTTCACAAAAGTCTGCGCCCTTTCTTCATGATACCTCACCTCGATTAGACATTTTCCACGCCGAGGAACTGCCACCGGACCCCCATTTCTATTATTATTGCTGAGCACTTTCTACCTAACAAGCAATCCATTTTCCACCAGCGGCGGAGGCCCACTTTAGGGGGGTATTAGGCCCAAGGCTGTATGTGCGTGTGGGAGTCTTTTGGGGCTTTTAAATCTATTTATCTCTTTCGCTTTCACAAATTGTGTTGATCGTTGTTATTCTTTGTATTTGGTTTTTGGAAGAAGACGAAAAGAAGGCGTGTGTCTGTAAAGCATCTTTGATGGGATGTCTTCAATTGTTATTTTCCTTTCTTTCCTTTCTCGTCCGTGGTCTCGTATTTACGGCTGCAACGGGATTTTTTCGTTTTTGTTCTTCACGGGCGATCTTTTGGTTCTTGCTTTTCGTGACCCATTTACGTACCAGTCATACGTCTGCCATGGCAATATGCAGTGCAAACGAGGTGGAGAACACGAAGGGGCGCTGGTTAGTATTTGGCACCTTGCTGTAGGAGGGAAGCAGTCAATCACATGGGTTTAAAAAGATGTTTGTGTCGTCTTTTTCGATTGATCCCCGTGGACTGGTTGTTGTTTGGGGTAGGATTGCGTTGGTCTTTTTTTTTCCTTTTCTAGTGGAGAATGAGATATTTTGTGCTTGTGTGTGTGGTGCGTATCCTGCCCTGCTTTTGTTTGTGCATATTTCTTTTCTTGGACTTTTTTTTCTTTTGACCATTCCCTTTCTTTTATTTCTTCGTTTGTAGGGTTTTACTGTTGTTGAAAATTGTGTATCTCCTTTTAATAAGATGGATTTTTATCAACTCTTCTCATTCTTGGAATCATTATATTATATCATATTACAGTACATTACAACATGCCCTGCTTGCCTTGCTTATATGTATGTATGTATGGATGCTTCTTTAAGAAAGAAGCCTTCTTATTATGTACGCATGTGCTTGTTCGTTCCATGTTTCGGATAATAAATAGATTGTAGTAAGTAGTATTCTGGGCGGATAAGTTCTTCATATCAAGATACATCTTTATTCCTCGGTTGAAGCTTATGTCATTTTCACCATGGGTATCACCTATAAAGCAAGTAGGGACGAAACTCGATATAGACAGACAGCTTTGCTCCATGCCCCTTATTTGTAGGTAGGTAAGGTAGTCATGCTTCTTTCTCGCCAGTTCTCACCGTTTCTCCGTCTTGATGTCTTATTACGTGGTACTATGTTGGTCTCCCCCTCCCCCCTTACTCACTTAGACTAACTACCATATGAGCTTATTATTGATCCGAGTAGATATAGTTCTCCGTCACAAACCTCGAGGCATCAAAGACCTCGTCCAGTTCCGGAAGCGCCTGCTGCTCCCTCCCCAGTGACGAAAGCAACTCCCCAATCTGCCGAATATCCTCCTCATCAACTTTGACATGTTGCAAACCCTCCAAGGCTTCAATATCCTTCCTCGCAGTTTCCAATTCCTCAGTTGAGAGCTGTCTCGTCCGTTCATGTATCAACGCCCTTAATGCACCACCAGGCTGCTGCTGCTGCTCCTTTTCCCATCTCCTGCTGACCTCTTCTTCTTCTTCTTCCCTTATACTACTATTAACATGTTGTGCATGTGTCTTCCTCCTCCTCCTCCTATTCGTATAAGCAAGCGCTCCCCCGCGTCTAACAACCACAACCGCATCTACTGCCCCCTCTGGATTTGTATCAACCCACTCGGCAGCTTGCTCCAAGCCCTTGTAACTCTCATCATGCACTTTTTTCGGCGTAAGTCGAAGTGGCAATTGACCGGACCGTGCCTCGGGTAGATCCTTGTAATACCGTACCAAAATACCTAATCTGCTCAAGGCAGAGGGAACGGCAAGGATGGCTACTAGCACCGTGTACCCTTTGCTATGAAATATGGATGCCAATTGCACAAAATCGTCTGGATGGCGGCAGGCGGATTCGAGGAGGACGGGGATCTTGTGGGAGGTGCAGAGGTGACAGGCCATTTTGAGCCATTGCCGTGCTGTGGGGGATGTCAATGGGCTGGCGAGTTGTGGGTTGGAGGAGGATAAAGCGGTTGTGTAATGGGGGTGGTAGGTTTTGTAGGTGTCTGCTATTAGGTGGGCTATTCCTTTTCCTACTTGCACGGGTTCTGATTCTGATGTAGACGAGGAGTTGCCGGCTGCTTGAGGGATCGGAGGGTTGTTGTTGGAGGAGGAGGAGGAAGAGGAAGTTGTCAGGTTATTATTCATGGCCTGGAGAAGGTCTGGCGCTAGACGGGTCTTGCCGGCGCCGGTTTGGCCTACTATTATTATGGCTAAGGGGGGTCTTTTGTTGCTGGTGTTCGTGATGCTGGACCCGGGGTTGGGGGTTTGGCGATGAACGTGAGGGAGGATCTCACGCGGGGCAATCTCATTGGTAAAGATCTCGAGATGCTGCGAGGGGGATAACTTCCATTCTTCTGGTATTCTTGCCATCTTGTTTGTGGCCTTGCTGGGGACTGATATGGATGGATGGTTGTTCGTAGGGAATGGAGGAGATAAACAAGAGGTCCAGACTGTACCCCTGAGGGGCAAGGAGAGTCGTTAACACAGCGAGTAACTAGGTGCTCGACTGAGAGAATAGGAATAACTCCCCAAGAGTTTGTTCCGTTGGATATAAAACAGATCACACACAGTGCTCTGAATACAGAAACTTGGTGAGTCTTGATCTCTACATAATGAGTTGAGGTTGTCCATCCATTATCTATGGCGCCTCTTCAGGTATGGGCGAAGTGTTGTATCGTCCTCTTCTTACGTAACGACCTTCCCCCCATTTGGACTTGTAAGTGGGTGGGATCGTGGGGAAGAGTTCTCGAATCGGAGGTTTTTTTGGTGCAGCACGACAGCAAGCACACCACACACATCTTGAGATTTCCATGCTTGCTTTGGATACATTCTGGAACTTCTTATATTTCAATGAGCCAACAACTATCAAAAAAGAAACAAATTCCAAAGTCAGCGTAAGATTTGGTCAAAATGACCCAAAAGAAAGTTTCCATTGACCACTGAGAAAAAATAATATGATGCGGTTTATGTGGATCGAACACATGACCTTCAGATTTAATTCTCATGACCCGTAGACCATGAAACCGAAGTGGACTTCAGTCTGACGCTCTCCCAACTGAGCTAAACCCGCTCGCTTTGTGTGGTTACTTCGGCTCACACCTTTTGCTTTTATGCTATTGGTGTCCGAGGCTTGATGTGCAGCGGATAAATGTATGCGGGCAGAAGTGGATGTGGAGGCGGTGGATAAGGGGTAAGTGACAGCAGCGATAGCGGATGTTTATTTCATGTCTGTATGATATGGCAACCAGCATACAGGTCACCCAATGTTTGAGTTCACCGGAGTCTTCCTCGTAATATTGATGACGACCAACGACTATTGCCCACATATATGTCCGAATCCCATCTTGTTAGGTTTCCGTAGGTCGAACATTTGTTCCCTATAGACACTTCTCTTATTTTAATTTCTGTTACCGTTCACCAGACTGTAGTTAACTGCAGCTTATATCTGCTGTCTGAGATCAAGATATGCGCCAGCTTACACAGGCATCAGAAATCGAATCGATATAACATGCCTGGGGACTCTGCTTAGATCAATGAGGTCAAGAAGCACGGAATTTGAGTTCATTCTTTCATTCAGCTTTATATGGTGCAGACAGGTAGACCGAGGCAGGAGGCTAAAACAGACAGACAGAACCGGCTGGCTATATGGCATCAAAAAGAAAAGCCACCGTACTTGCAAGCTCCCTTTTCTCCCAACTGACCATAGTAGAAGCCAGACCAGACACACCCGGAAACAAAAATCCGCCCATCAGTGAAACATTCATCCCAACACAAGAAAAACAGCAGCCAGGATACTCTCTGACCTTGTTCATCCAACAGACTCTCCAATTGGTTCTCAGGTCCAACTCCCTGGCAATTCCGATGTTAGGTACACCCGCCGGTCAGCAAGACCATGGTCTTCTAGGACCTGGCCTCCTCTAGCTCAAGCTCCAGCTGCCTAATTCGCTCAACTTGCTCCTGAGATCCCGCGGTGCCAGCGACGACTCTCTTCTTGAGGGTCTCCACTTCAGCTGCCAGTTGGCTAATAACCTGGCTTTGGCTCGAAATCCGGTCGCTTTGGGCCGTGATGATCTTGGTCTGCTGCTCAAGGAGCTGCTTGATCTCCTCTAGAGTCTTTTCAACACCCGATGATGTGGATGCGGCGGGAGCGGGAGCGGGAGCGGTGGTACGAGAAAGAGGGGGCGATGCAGGCGATGCCTTGACCGGCGAGGACGGCTTCGGCTGTGTTGTGATAGGCGATGGAGGCTTTGCCACGGCCGCGGGAGCTGCGGATCGGACGGGAACTGAAGTCCGGGCCGCGGGTCGGGAAATCTCTTCGAAGCTGGATGTCTCATCATCCGAAGACTCCTCCTCCTCATTGTCTTGGTACTTGTTTGCCATGTTAGAGATGGAGGCCTTTTGATCTGTAACAGTAGGTGGGGAGCGCATGGCAGGTGCGGGCTCAGGCTGCTTCTTTACGGGAGCTGCAGCCGGCGCAGGCGCAGGCGCAGCAATAGGTGCAGGTGGCTTGTATTCCGAGGCAACCTCGACAGGCGCCTTGCCCTCGTAGATGCTTTCAAGATCAATCTTTGAGGGAATGTCAGTCTTGCCATCGAGCCACTCTCTAGCAGAGACAGCAGGCTTGACACCGGTTGCCGGTGGGAAGATGTCCGACTGGAAGGTCTCGGCACGGCGAGGAACAGTGAAGGAGATGGGCTCGATATAGCTGTCATTGACCGTTTTGTACGCCCTCATGATTTCATTCTCATGCACCTAAGATTTCGTCAGCAACCCGAGGGCGACCGTCGGGTGATTTTCTGAAGACGTACATTGATGCCACGTCTGGGCACAAAGGCGATACCTCTCTGGGGATCACCAGACTTGTATTCGGACAGGAACTCAAACTTGTCGTGCTCATACTCAAAGTATCGAATGTTGCCGTCACTACCAAGCGTTAGTTGCATTCAGATGAGTTAGTTCCACGCTATGGATGAATCCCGACTTACCCCTTTCCAGCAAGGTACAGGCAGTTCGATCCGTCATCTATTCCCGTGGTTAGACACAAAAGCTGTTTGGTCAAATCAAGGCTAGGTTTTCTCACCCCAGAACGGCATGCAGACTCCAGAGATGGCATCAAGAGAGGTGAAGCCGCCGATGGGGTCCTTCCGGCCCGGTTCCCAGAGACCAATTTGCCTGTCACTCATTCTGGAAAATCCAGTCGTGGCGATCCGGTTGTGCTCGCCCATCCATACGGCGCGGCTGTTCTTGGCGCCTTCGTGTCCGGCGTATTCGTGAACAGGCTTCTCAGCGCGTACATCCCACACACGCAGCTTCTTGTCCCTCGAGGTCGTTACCAACATGGCGCCATTGGCGCTCCATGAAAGACTCTGTACAATATCGGGGTGCTTGAGCGAGAGCGCGGCCTGGCCGGTGCCAATGTCCCAGAGCTTGATGGTGAGATCGCCGGAAGCTGAGGCCAAGATATTTTCGGCAGCCGGGTTGAAGAGAACCTGGCCAACTTTTCTAAAGAGAGTGATTCATGTAAGTTGCCAGAACGGAGCGAAGATGTCAGAGGGGCTGTGTAGCCGCACCTCGAGTGTCCAGTCAGCTTGCTAACAGGTGAGACGTCGGTGATTTCTTCAGCGTCTGTGTAGAGAGTGAAGTCCTGCGGCACCTGCCATATGAACACCTTGCCATCGTCGGACGCGGAAGCAATGACATGATCATTGAAAGGGTTCCTAAGCGCGGGTTAGGCTTCGTTGAGCGATGTTGGGACAAGGTGGAGCACACCAATCGGTGTCGAGGACAGCGGCTGTGTGGCCTCGGAATAGGGGGAGTTGGTCAGGCAGCTTTCCGCGCTCGTTGAGAGGAATAACAGCAAATGCGCCGCCACCGCTGGACTCCCAATTGACCGAGAGATATTCGGGGTTGGCCTAGTCGGGGCGAAACGGTCAGCACGCGACACTGGCCACAGCCGGAAGCTGGGAGCTGGGATCGGAGCGGGACTGGCACTCGGGAGACGGGACGGGCGATGGACTCGGTACCTTCACCAAGTTGGTATCCCAGGCATTGCGACTGATGTGGAGGTTGTCGTAGCAAAACTCCTTGCGCGTGGGTTTACCAAAGACGTGTCCTGTAGTTGCGCGCCGAAAGTCAGTCAATTCTGCGTCGAATGCGCCAAGCTCGGGGAACAGTGAAATGGCGGCAGCCGAAGTTGAGCGCCGATCTGATGGTGATCCCAGGTAAGAAGCTTACGATATTTCGACGCTCGCACAAAGCGGCCAGCCATCGGGTCGGATCTCGAACGTAGAAACTAAAGATGTGAAGGGGGAGCTAGTAAATGTAGATTGTCCAACTTTCTAGTAATAGTGCATCGGTGTGGCCTGCGCCGAGCTCTTGAGGAATTGTTAGGTAAGGTAGGTTTGGTGTTGAAGAAGAGGCAGGACGGACTGGAACACTGAAGAGACCAGGACAAGTCAGTGGAGGTAACCTGGAAATGCGCTAACTCTAGTGGATTCACGGCCTGTGCCAAGGCTGGGGCGGCTGAGACGGTGCGCAAGCAGGGCCCTGCAACTCTGAGATGACCCCTCCACTACCCCTCCACAACTTTTATGAGTGTGAGACCGTTGCCCGTTGCTGGCCTGCACTGGTACACATGTAAAATTTCATTTGTTACTTTTTGACTTGTATATATGGTAAACAATCAAGACAGGTATTCTGAGTTCAGAAGATCAAAAGGGGGGAAATATCATCAGTAAAAAGGCGTGGTTGCCTTTAGCATGACGCCTTTTCGCATGCCTCGCTGTGTCTCGAACCTGGAACCTCCAGTGTATGTGAGGTACATGACCCAAGCAAACAATTGAAGGGAAATTCGGATGAAATATTTGAATTCTACATATTCTAGAAAAGCCCCACTTTCTTCTTTCAATTTATCAAGACAGCCGGTGAACTCTAACGCTCAACTTTTAGCGAGTAGACGCCTTGGTAAGTGAGTGACTCAGGGGGCTGCTCCAAATCCAGGTTCCTCAGATCATTTCATAAAGTCTTAATTTACCAAGAACCTGCGAGATACGATTTCTAGAGAGAACCGAAATTTTACTCCAATATTCCATACGGCACACGAATACCTAGCCCAACTGATCAAGAATGCAAGAGCAACACGCTGATACACAATCGTCAGGAGGGGCACCGTCCCCCTCCAAGCCCCTCTGTGTAAAATGTCGTCTTCATGAAGGCACTTTGGATAGCAGATCACAACTCGTCTGCAGGTACATATCTTTACCAGCTTTGAAAATTCTTTGGTCTTCCAACTTTCAACTAACTCACCTCACAGAGACTGTTTTTCAAAATTCATATCCGCAAAATGTGTCAAGCAAGTCGGCATCATAGGGAAAGACATCCGCAACCCTGGCTCTGGCTCAGGGGCAGCCAGCCAAAAGAAGAAATACGTCCTAGGCTTGTCACTAGGCGTCTCCTCCTCCGTTCTCGTTCATCTCCTGAATGAGAATGTCGAGTATCAGTTAGCCAAGGGCCGGGCTGCCCCCTTTGACCTCACAGTGGTTCACGTGGACTCTTCCTCTCTATTCCCAAACAACGGCAGCAGCAGTTCGGCCGAGGAAACACTTGACCGTTACCGCAAGAGATATCCACGCTTTGAATTCCGACGCGTGCCGGTATCAGATGTCCTAAATCTCAGCACAGTTGACTGGTCAACGCTGTTACCGCCCTCCGACGAGAAGACGAGGCCAGAAAATGAACAACAGCTCAGCGAGCTAGTCGACCGTCTCCCCTCATCAACATCACGAACTGATATCCTCCGCCTCTTCACCCGCCACCTACTCATTTCTGCAACAAGACAGAACGAATGCCACGCCCTCTTGCTCGGCCACACCACGACGGCACTAGCAGAGCTGACCCTCGCAGAGACAGCCAAGGGACGAGGATTCTCGCTACCATGGCAGGTCAACGATGGGCCAGTAGCTGTAGTAGATTACCAGCCCGCCGCCGACGAACCTACGACGTCCCAGATTCAAATCTATCATCCCTTACGGGACCTCCTCCGTAAAGAGCTGGTCACATACGCGACTGAAC